GCCCCATGCCGAGACGGTACCGCTACAGCGAGGGGCAAGTCCCCTCCATATGGTGCTCCTGGCCGGCTCCCAGCGCCAGGGCAGGTGCTCTTGTCTGGTCTACACAAAACCCTATTGTCGGCACCCGCAGGGTTTCCCTCCCTCGGCACGGACCCGCTCCAGCCCCCACCGCCCTCCTTGCTCCGGCACCACCGGGAAAATGGCTTAGCCTGGCTGGACATGGCCGCATCCTCCTCAGAGTGCAGGATGCTTTCCATGCAGCCGGTGTCCCCCCCCCCGGTCCCCTCCACCTCGAGCCCTCCCGCTGCTGACAGCCACACTGGGTGGGGTTTGTCACCTGGCCGCTAAAGCGCTGATGGTTTTATGCCCGGCACTTAATTATTTCCCCGATTGCCACCGCCGTGTGCTGGCGAGTGGCGCTGGCTGTGACCCCGCCGAGCCTGACGCCGCCGCTGCAGCCCGGGGAGCTGATGGCAGAAGCACGCCCCACGTGGAGTTTAATTATTGGCTTTCTTCCTTAACAGAGTACATTGGCTGACCTTAATGCAATTAATTAGGGCTTAATCAACTTCTGGTGGCTCAGCACAGCACACAGTGACTCCTGCCTTTCCAGGAGGGTTTATAAGAGGTTAAAGCGTCTAAGGGGAGGGTGTGGTGTGTAGTTTGTACGTTTGGTGGGTAAAGCTCAGTTAGTCAAGCATTGGGGTAAGACTTGTGTTCTCCTAGGCTGGACATGTTGCTGGAGATGCTGGTAAAGGCAGGTGGGAAGTGAGCTGCACTCAAGAGCTGTGCCCGAGGTGATGCCTCTGCACAGAATTGCTGGTGTTCCTTGCTTTTGGTATCACCCTGAGCTCTGGCTTTCCACAGGGCTTTTCCTGAAGCTGTGCTGGGCCAGGGTGTTCCCGCTCTTTGGGTGCTCTCTGCTAGTGATGGGCTGTGTCTGGGTTGTGCATCCAGCAGCTGCTGGGCTCTGAGGGTGCTGGAGGTGATGTCTGGGGAGCTCCTTCACCCCCTTGAGCAGGCATTAGCCTTGGAGACAAGAAGTTGTTGGTCACTGGCTGTTCCTGGGCAAGAGGGAAGCTCCTTCCCCTCTCTGCCTAGCAGCGTTTAATAACTAATAGTGCTCACTAATACTGCAGAAAGTCCTCGGCACCCCTGACATGGGGCCCTGGCTCTGCACCTCTGTGGCTACTCTGGGCTTGACCGCTGGGTATAAGGACTTATTTACACACCTTGTGTCTCCAGCTGCTGGATTTTAGGTATTTAAGCCAGCAGACACCTGTTGGCGTAGCTGGTGATGCAGTGCCCCATCCCTGGGCTGCAGAGCATGAAGTGACTCAGCCTTGACCTTGCAGAAAGCCCTGGAGAGGTGAGTGGCCCTGTGCCAGTGGTGGCATCTCCTGGTGTCAGCTGTGGTGATGGTGACCAGAACTGTGGCATGTCCTGCTGTGTGCCCTCACATCCTCAATGCTTTGCATCCTCCCAGTGCCATTGTCCCTAGGCAGTTTCTGTCACCACCCCTCCTACCCTATTTCCTTGGGTCCCTGTGTCCCTGGCTGTTCCCCACCCCAGGGGCTGTACCACCAAGCCCCCTTGTGTGGATAGCCCGGTGCCAGGACTGGGAGGTGGCAGCAGGAGCTGTGCCAGCCACTGTTGCTGGCTTGTTTGCTTCAGTGCCAATTCATTAATATCAAAAAGCTAATTAGGATTCCACAGCCCTTCCCACCTGGCCCTCTCCTTTGGAGGCTGGAGGATACTTGTCTGCAAGACTTCCATGCAGCCCTGTCTTAAAAGGACTCAGCTCTGGTCTGTCCCAGCCCGGTGGTTTGTGTCCCTCTCTCTGCTCCCAGCTAATTCATGTGGCTAAAGCGCCCCTCGAAGCCTGGCAAATGGGAAGTGATATTTGCCAATAATCCCTCTGTTCTCCCGGGCAGGCTTCTCATATTACAGGTTATTAAAAAAACCAAAACCCAGGCAGCAATAACTGTGGCCCCTGGGAAAGCCTGAGCACAGATTGTTCCTGGTAAAACCCCACCCAACAGGAGAGCCCCCAGCAGAGGCAGCACAGCAATGCCCAGCTGGACCTCATGGAGCATCTCTAGGCAGAGCCCAGCCCCTCTTGTAAGCAGAAAAGGGATGAGCCACAACACTCTTTTCCCCCTGGGGAACAAGTGAGATTCCCACAAGTCACAGACTAAATCCAATTTCTCCCCACAGAGGCTGTGGAATAAACCCTCCTATTGCTCACCAGGGCTCCCCACCCTGATGCCAGCACCTCTTGGCCTCAGCATCTTCCTCACCACTGGGCTGGGCAGAAGCAGCTCCTGTGTTGGCATCTTGCAGGGACAGGACAGAGCCAGCACCACCTGGTAGGACAAACCCAGCCTCTACAGCCAATTTTTTGCTTTGCGGGGCTTTTGAGAAAACTTGCCCAGAACTGGGGATGATGTTTCCTCTGGAACAGGGCAGTGATGCTGGTCCATCCTTTTCTTTGAGGGTGGATTTGTCCCATGGGATATTCAATCCACTAAATATGTGTAGTTGTATTTTTCTTTCTGCAAAAAATACCAATTTCCCTGCAAGGAGTTTCGCTGCAGCTCGAAACATTTCATTGCATGGGTTGGGGGTTTCCTTCTGGTTTTAAGTCAACATTTCCCCTTAAAATGTCACTCAGGGAATGATGCTTTTTTTTACAGCAAAAGTCTGTGATGACATTTTAAGTGGAGAAGAAAATTGCTGCTTCGTTTCAAAATGTCAACTTTGAGTGGGGTGGGTTTAGAGTATTTTTTTTTTATTTCGGTGTTTCCCAGGAGAAAAGCAAAATGGTTTCATTAGACTCAAGTAACTCTTGCCCCCATGACCCCCAAAATAAATCTTTATTTATTTTTTTTTAACCTCTTTGCACTTTTTGTGGCAGGGAAACTTTTGCCAAGAGAAGTCATGCTCTAGTGGGATGCTGCTTTAGGAAGGGACAACCCTGTCTCAGCCAAACCTGAGCCTTCTGGGGCAAATCCTCTGGCACCAAACTCCAGCAGGGACCTGTGGGAGAGACTCCATTGCTGCCAGCTGGTTTTAGTTGCCACGGGAGGGATTAACAGGAGGTTGAAACCAGGTTTTGAAGCTCTCCTCTTCCTGCTTTCCCTCTGCCTCATGCTCCTGGTTTTCCTTCACACAGCTCTCCTCGAAAATCACTTGTTCTAGATTAGGCTACAGACTGGAGTTATCTTCCTTTTATTTATTAGGGTAATTATACCTAATGATTCACATGCTCGGGGAGAGTAATTGCTCCCAAATACAGCACCAGCAGTGTTCTTACCCAGCCGGGGTGCAGTGATTCACAAACGCATCTTTTCGTACCATTTATCAAGTGATGATCCTGTAATTGCTGACTTGATTTGGAGGCAGTTAAGGAGCGATTGAGGACCCGGCAGCACTGGCATTGTGTCCATTTCCCTCTGGTGTGGTGGTCACTTGTGTGTGTCTCCTCCCTGCCACGCTGACAGTTGTAACCACTCGCCTCCTGTGTGGGTTTTGCTGGGGATTTTGGTTGGGTTGAGCCCCTTGAGCTGCAGGGTTTGTGCTTTCTGAAGAGCCGTGGTGCCTGGTCTGGCAAATTCTGTGGCACGGCCTGGCTGAGGGAGAGCCAGGGCTGTCCCCCTCCAGAGTGGGGAGAACCCCTCCATCCTCCCAAAATATGGCTTGGCCCTCGCCTCTTCAGAGCTCTTGGAGCAGATGGGTGAGAGCTTGTGCTACCCCAGCGAGGGGACCTTTCCCTGAGGACTCCTGCCCATCTACCATGCAGGGTGGGCAGGAACATCCCATGAGGGATGGATGATGTACAGAGTCCACCCTGCTGAGCTGCTCCAGCCCTGGGAGAAACCTGGATGCTGGGGATGGAAGGATGTTTCTGGGGGTGTTTTGAAGAGTGTTGATGTTCCCAGTGCTGCCATGAGGCTTGGAAAGGCAGCCTGAGGCTTGAAATTCTTAAGGGGAGCCCAGGGTGATGGCTTTGGAGTGACTTGTCCCCTCTGGTGCTGCCCAAGACAACACTGTGGTGCTTGGCTGGAGGCTGCTGGTTGGCTGTGCTCTCCTGGGCCAGCAAAAACAGTTTTTTTGGTACTGGGTGGAGAGCAGAGAGTGTATTGCTACTTTGCTTTTTTTTTTTTTTTTTTAAGCTTCCCTTCTCAGTGTGTGTCTGGGCTGTATTGCATGAGCCTGCACCCATCACCCATCTCCTCCTGCCCCAAGTGCTGCTCCAGGTCTCCCATCCCGTGGATGCCAGAATTGCCACTGGGATGTGAGCAGAAAGGCAGGAGAGGAGGTGGCACAAACGGCCCTTTCTGCTGGCCAGCACTTGGCTTTATCCCCAGCACTGCTTGGGTGGGCTCGTGAGGGAGCCTGCCCTGGTTGTCCCCCACCCCCAAAATGTGGGGCTGTGCCAGTGCCTTTCAGTAGGTGTTCAATGGAGTAATAGCTCCCTGGTTTCATTCCACCCACATCCACCTCCTTAGTGGAGGATCTGTGCTCGTTCTCGCTGGTGCCTGGCCCCCTGTCAAGAGCTCCTGCAGGCAGCCAGGAGCTGCTCCTAATGGGCTGCCAGGGGATTTGGACTCTGACAGCTGGGTGCTGACAGCTCCCTGCAACTGCTCGCTTCACCCGCTGGGCTCTCCTCTCCACAGTCAGATGGAGAAGGATGCTCCAACCTCTGTGGCGAGGAGGCTGGCTCCTCTTTCTCCCCTCCCCGGGTGTTTGTGATGGTACTGGAGGTTTGTGGTGCCCATTGCCTTGGTGGGGATGATGGTGGTGCAAGCAGAGGTCCCTAGGCTGGAGGAGCCCCTGCAGGGTGATGTTTCAGGTTGGGGACTGGAAGAGGGGAGGAGGTCTGGATATACCACAGGGCAAGTCTTGTCACAGCTCCCAGCAGGGAGCTGGGGTGGCAGGCCTTTGCTAGCTGGGAGCAAGTGCTGACACCTCCTGGGGCTGCCTCTCCAGCAGCTCTGGGGCCTCCCGTGCTTTCCCCTGGCTGACACATCGCCTCTCTTCTCTGTTTGATGCAGGGCTCCTCTGTGTCCCCACAGACCCTGTGCAGGGGCTGGTGGCTGCTTCTGGGGGCTCCCCAGGGCCCAGTTCCATTCCAGCGGGGGCCGTGGCAGCTACTGCAGAGGGACTGTCCCATCACCCTGCCAGCACGGAACAACTCACAGCCTGCTGTCTTGTATGGCTTTTTATTCCTATGTGATTATACATCCCACTTCATATAGGGATTGAAGCCGTGCAATACGCCGGGGTCCTACGGCGGAGAGCAGCTCCTGTGCCGTGGGAGCCAGACTCGAAGGAGCCTCCAGAGCTGTCCCCTGGGGTGCTGGAGGAAGACTGCTGGCCTCAGCCTGGACTCTGTCCTGCTTCCCAGGCTACCCAGCCCTCTTGGGCTGCAGGTGAGGGGTGCCAAGATGCTTGGGGTGAGGCCAGCACAAGCCCACTCCTCCTTGCACTGCACCCTCTTGCAAAGGTGGGCCTGGTTCTGCACCATGTGTGCTGTGGAGAGACCTGGTAACTGTCCTGATGGGCTCATCTCTGGGAAACCTGCTTCTTTGGTTTTGGCCCCCAGTATCGCAGGAGATGGGTGACAACCTCTGGGTGCAGGCACTGCTGGCAGGACAGGGGAGGAGGAAGAGGAAGAAGAGGAAAAATGAGCTGAGGAATGGCCACCAGAGAAGGGCTGCCCCAAGCACAACTCTCTTCAAAGTTTCTCAAGAGGCTTCAGCTACTCTTTCAAGGTTTGCGTTAAATCTGTCACATTAGCGAAAATAGTGAAAATTGTGGCTTGTGGAGGAGATGAAAGGCAGCCCCTTCCAATGCCTCCATAAAGGAAGGGCCCCATTAACACCTAGTGAAATATTAGCCATTAATCAGGCTCTGTGCAAAATAAAACCATCCACATTTATCATTATTGGATCCTTAATGAAGTGATAATGGAAATGCTGGGGAGCTGTGATATTAATGTCTTCTAAGAGGCAAGAGCAGAGCCAAGGGCGGCAGCCAAGATTTTTAATTTACTGGCAAAAGCTCGTGCTGTTAATAACGCAGTTACTTCTCCTGGCCATTAGCACTGTTTGGCTATGAGCTGCCAGCTTAGGGGAGCAAATCGACCCTGAACGTACCTGGGCTTTGCTCACTCACTCCCCAGCCAGCATCTGGGCATGTTTTCCCAGTGACTGTCCTAGTGTCCCCTGCCCATGTACAGGGACATGGCCCGGGAGGTGTTGGCCATCTCCACCCAGATCTCTCCTGGAGGCTGGCTGGTATAGAAAGTTTTGCTTTTCTGATAGAAAAGGAAGGGACTGGGAGCATCAAACCCAAGTGGCTCTTGTTGTCCTCATTCTCTGTGTGACTTGTTGCCTTAGGCAGAAGCACCCTGGAGCCAGGATGGCATGGAGCTGCTCCCAGCACAGCCTGCACACTGGGATCATGGGTTGTGACCATGGCTGCACTCTGGGTTTCTTCACTTGCCCGGGTTCACTCCCATGATGCCAATATCCCATCCAGGACAGCGTCGGCAAGCTGCAAAGCCCTGCTCAGCTGTGGTGACTCACTCAAGCTCCCAATGGGAAAGTCATCGTTCCTGGCAGGCCCTGACAGCCCAGAGGCAAATCATTACTAGGCAGGTAAGAGATGCTCGTGTCTCAAGATGCAATTGTTAGCACACAAATCCTGCTAAACCCGACCAGTGTGGCCCAAATGTATGCTGGCTCATGCGTGGGGCCTTTTGCTGTCTGTGAAGGGACTGCAGGTCAGAGAGAGCTGGCTTTGGGCTGGAGCAGGAACAGACAATTCCCTGCTGAGCACTGTCCAAAGGAATAAAACAATATTTTTTCTGTGAGGGGTGCCCAAACTCCAATGCTCCTTTTGTCCCTAGGTAGAAGGTCCACCCAAGCAACCCTTTGGAAATGCAGCTTCGAGCTGTCCAGGTAGAAGCATCAGAAAACTATTTCTGTAGCCTGGGTATCCTTAGTGAACCTCTCCCTCTCCTGTTATCTCTTCACTAGGAAAGAAAGGACAAGAACAAAACCCATATATGGTGGCCAAGCAAAGGTAGATGTGAAGTGTACTTCAAACAGCTCCATCCTTTCAACAAATCTTTTATTAGCCTTTTCTCCTCTCCAACACACATTCTTTAATTGCTAGTGAAAAACCACCATTCAGAAAGCAAGGACACTGCTCAGGGTATCTGGGGTAGGCATTTCCCAGGAGAAGCCAGCCAGCACTAGCCCAAGGTCTTCTGAACTTGGCTGCAGCTCTAAGGGCCAGCGTGGTGCTCAGCAGTGTGGCAGACCTGTGGGCAGGGGGTTATTGTGGGCCTATGGCTCACTGGACCTGCTGCTGAAGGTGCCAGTGACCCTTCTGCCAGGCACCCCAGCCTGAAACTGGAGTCACTCTGCATTCCACTGGAGCAGAACTGGCCAGGAAGCATTCCCAGCACTGTGGAGCCAGCTTTAGCCAGTTATCCTGGCTGCAGCCCATACTTGTGGCTGTATCTCCGTGCGTTGGTGCCCCTGTGGAGCTGGCCTGCTGGGCATGGAGCAGGCGACCTGCCAGCGACCTCCGGAGAAAAGCACACGGCACAAAGCAGCTTCTCCTGCACAACCACCCCCTGACATTACACAGGGGCACAGGGAGCTTTATAACGCTTGGCACACTTCCCCCAGCAGATCTTGGAGCTGTTTGCCAGTGTGAGCAAGTTCAGGCATGTTACGGAAGACTTTCAGACTCTGAGGACAAGTGAGATGCATGGATGGGTTTAAACCATCCCAGGCAAGACCAGGGTTTTGAAATCCCCAGGCTTGTGCCTTACACTGTGCCTGGGCTGTAGCCCAGACAGTCCAGCTGCCAGCCTGGCATCAATACTGGGCCCCGTGATGGTCCTGCTGATATCCCTACTTGTTAGTTGTTGGCTTCAAAACCAAAATAGGAGGTGTTGTATCCTCCTCAAAAATCCACTCTCCGATCCAGGTGGGTGCAGGACTGCTCAGTGAGATACACCACGACTCACGGTGTTGGCACAACAGTGCGTTTATGTCACGAGATGAGATCAGCCACACGGAGTAGGTCGGTCTGTCTGGAAAGAGTCTGAGTCAAGCGTGTCCTATTACATTATAGCTGGATTTTCAAAGGAGCTCAGCTCCCACTTAGGCTCTGTAACAAACAGCCGGATATTCAAAAGGAGTCGGACGTGCTGGGTCATACCGGCTGCTGAGCTGAAGTCCTTTGAATATCCAGCCAAAACCATCAACGTGCCTGTTGCTACAGGCAAAGCCCTTCTGAAATCCAGCCTCACTGTGGGCTGCACATCCTGGGAAACCCGGCTCATCTCTGCTCTCCCGCATATCGCACTGCAGTAGGTGACAAAACCACGATAAACCACCGTGTCCTTGTACATGTGGGGGAGCAGCTCCCTGTCAGAGCACAGCTCTGGCAGCTTTGCCCTTTGATCAGCTCAGCAGCATGGGTCAGGAGAGCTGAGCGTGAAGGTTTCCTTGCCTTTTGTTCTGTGGAATTAGCAGAGTTAATCAGAGTGACAGCGACTTCTGCCTCAGCGCAGAAGAAAGGTCAGTGGCTCAGGCTGGATGCGTGACTGTTTTCTAGGCAGTTGGAAAACAACACCACGAAAGCTCATAGCGTACATGCTGCTGGCATGGAGGCTCTCCCATCAGGGATCAGCAGGGAAGATATTCCTGTGGAGGGAAGGAGGCTGGAGGAGCCACTGCACTTTGTTCATCCCCTTCCTTAAGTGAAGGTATGGAACCCTCTATGTCACTGTGCACTGCCTGTGTCACCCATCCAGTGTCTCTGCCAATATGCTCCTTAGCCACACTCCCGGGTTTGCATCATGCTGGACTTGTGGTCTCTGTGTCGCCTCATACACTGCTGTGGGAGGAACTGCAGGGCACTGTGCTGGTGCGTGGAGTGGGTGCTGGGTATTCCCACCATATCCCTCCAGCACGTTCACGCTTCAGGTGAGCAGGCCTTGCTGTCACTGCTTTTACATCCTTCAGTCACTGTAATGCACTTCTGTGAACCTGCAAAAGCTCCCTCCTGAGCTGCTCTTGAGCAACAGTGCAGTGAGGTTTCTCCCTGGCAGCCCTGCCATGGCCTCAACTTCCCCATATTTTTTAACTGTAGTTGCAGCATGTTAAGTCTTCAACTTCACTTGAAGTCACAAGCATGTTAAATCCAGCTTCCTTGTCTGCAATGTGACCTCTTACCTTTCTCTGATCACCCCAGTTACAAGTGCTTGCTTTTGCTGTGGACATCCACTCATGTCTCTAATTAGTGGATTCTTTCTGTAAAGATACCACCACCCTCAACAGTGAGTCCTAATTTAAGTAGCTCGCATTTGTCTGCAGTAATGATGCTTTCATTTACTCCTGGTTCTAATTAAGTGCATCTGGATATCTGCAGAGGGACATCTCATGATCTCTCCAAGGCTCTAATTAAAATGGCCTGAATGTCCATGACATTGGTGCCCGTCAAGCCTGTCACCAGGAGGTGATGCCCACCTTGGAACTGGCTGAAGAAGGTGTAGGAGTCGTTGTTCCTGAGAAAAGCTTCCACGTCCAGGCCCTCCTGAAGCGCCTCAGCCACTAGCCCTGGGCTGCAGAAGGCTCCTGCTGCCTCCGTCGGCCCATCCTGCCCATCTGTTCCCCCGCTGAAGAAGATGATCTCACACCTCCCTTGGGGGCTGCTGCCTTCCATGGCCTGTGCCCTGTGCAGCCCCAGCCCCACGCACAGGGCCAGCTCCTGGTTCCTCCCTCCCTTGCCGCTCCCTTGAAGCTGGACTGTGGTTTCTCCACCAGCCAGGATGCAGACTGGTCTTTCAGGCCCTAATCCTCGCAGGGCCTGTAGAAACTTGGCAAGGTCCAAACCTGGGATCTCCAGCTCTGCCGCCAGCTGCAGGAGATTGCCCCTCACCTCATCACCGAGGGGCTCTTCTGTGCGGCCGGCGAGGCCCAGGCAGACCAGCCGGATCAGCTGGCAGTACAGCGTGGAGACACGGCCGACCTCCCCACGGATTGCTGCACTCAGAACCAGAGCTGCGTAGCCCAGGCTCTCAGCGTGGTGTTTGGCCTCGTCTAAAGCCAGAGTATTTGACCCAATGATGATGTTGGAAACATGGGAGTAGTTTTCTGGAGCGGTGGGCTTGGTGGGAGAGCTGGAGAGGACCGTTTCCACTGACTTGGGCAGGTTGTGCAGCAGGTTGTATTTGGCAAGTACCTGAAGGCAGTCTTGGACACTGTGGGAGCTGGCAGCAGTGGGCCCACTCGCTATGATATCCAGGGGGTCACCAATCACATCAGACAGGATGAGACTCACCACCTACGGAAAGAAATGCCGTAGAAGAAAGAAATAGATTATTGCAGGAGGCAGAGACAGGTGACTACACAAGAGCCCTGGCATAAGTATTGCTCTGAGTTACACTTGCAGTACCCCCACATCAAAGCAGATGGAAACAGGGCAGGGAAATTTTGTTTTATGGTCCTGTAAGCGTCACCTTGCCCTTCTTGAACCCACAGATCTACAGTCCTCTTTGATGCTGGACCATCACTTTGGAAGATGTAACCTGTGACACTGCACTTGTCAGGCCCAGCATAGTGAGGGTTCAGTGATGGCACATGCTGAGAACAGCCCCCAGGGGAGCCAAGGGTCAGAGCAAGACTTGAAAGTGCTGTGGTGAAGCACCAGCACTTAGAGGTGCCTGCCAGGTGTGGGTTGGGGTGTGCTGAGAGTGGTGTGATGATGGCTGATGATTGCCAAGCCCGAATTCCCCCTGTTCCACCTCTGTCTCCCTGAGAGTTTGGGTCCTCAGTGAAATCTCAGCTACAGAGTCCCAAAACAGCGTGCAAAGGTTGTTCACTTAGTAAGGAAAAAGCCCTGCAAGCATGCTTAGGTAAGTTGACTGAACCTCTGCTTTGGGGGTAGGTGGGTGATCTGTGGGCAAGCAGGGCCTTCCCCGTGGTTACCTGTGCGGGATATGCGAGCTGGGCCAGCCCTCCTCCCTTCAGCACGGACAGAGTCTTCCGGACAATGTTCAGCTCCTGTATGGCAGCTCCTCGGGAAGCCAGCATCTTTGTGAGCTTCTCCTTCTCTTCAAGGAGGATGGGAGGGATGGGAGCAGGCAGCAGGGCTGATCCACCCCCTAGGATGCAGAAGAGACGGCAAGGACATCAGGATAGCAGGAAAAGGAGGACAGAAAAGAGCAAGGCTTGAGCTTTTCCTCTTCCCCCACTAGTGTATGGAGGGAAGGCAATTGAGGACCTAAGCTAACATCTCTGGAGAATTCAGTCTTCACCAATGGGTTTTAATAACTGCTGTCCTGTACTCTTTGCAGTCTGCTATGCTTCACCTGGCAGTGTAAACCATGCCAGACCAGGATACCACATGCCTCCAGTGTTGTGGGGATGACAGAAAAGGGACAGCAACTACTATCACCAGTACTCTGGGCTACTAGTGTGTCCTTACATTGATATTCACCTGGAGGGGTGAGCAGGGAGCACAGCATCCATAGCTCACACAGTAGTCTGTGCTATGCACATGGAGACACTGCCTGCTTTGGTGGCTCCATATTCAGGACACTGAGTAAAAAAACCAAACAAAAACCAACAAAAAACCCCCTATCAACTATGGATGCAGCAAGACTGGAAATCCCTGAACTGTGTTCATCTTGGTCTGGGAGGAAAGGAAGGGGAAGATAGTAATGCAAAGGACAAAGCACACCCTGAGTCCAGGGGTCCAGCCTCAACAACGGAAATCCTGTCTGATACAAGCAGGCATTGGAAACGTGGAAAAGAAGGCAAGGTTCTAATGGAAAAGTGGATGGAAAATACAGAGGAGAAAAGAGCAAGAACTGAGCAGAGAGAACACGCACAGAAGTACAGCTGAAAGATACTGTCAAAAGGCAAAGCCTGCTCAGAGGTTTGAGACAAATCAGCATCAATAAAACATGATGAGCAAGAAAAACAAATGCAAATGCCTGTGTTTCAGTCAATAGCCAGGGATCTAGCTGAGAGGTAGGAGCAGTTGGGGACCGGCTGCTGTGTGGGAGTGCACATGCAAAGGGAGTCACAGCCACGGGGAGATCCTGCACAGGCTCCCTGAAGGGCTGAGGAGTCTCTTGGAGATCCCCATAGCCAAAAGACAGGAGGAAGCCCAGGGGAATCCCCAGCAAGCACAACTAGATTCCAGTCACTTGGGTGTCTGCCTAATGGCATTACTGTCTCTGGACCAGATCAGGCTTCAGCATCCACAGAGGAATAAACACTGAGCAGAGAAGACCGAGGGGTTTCTGCAGAGCCCCTGTGTGCTTTTGTCCTGTGACACCCACAGCCAGCTGAGCTCAGGCTGGGGCAATGGCAGTGCATCCCTCTGATACCCCATATCCACTCTCCTCAAACAGCCCTGGGTCTGGGGACACCCTGGGGTCCCAGCAGCCAGGGCCTGGAGTTGTGCAGGACTGACCCCTGCAAGGCACTGTGCTGGTACCTGGAGGCTGCATTTCCACTGGCTGGGAGGCAGCCAAGCCCTAGGAAGGGTCAGTCACGAATCTCAGCTTACAGACTCACACCCCTGCAAAAATTTAGAGTGTGCCAGTCCACTAAGTGCTTGGATCTCCAAGTCTGCATCCCCAAATGTAAGAAGGGGGCAGGAAGAAAGCGTCTCCTTGCCAAGAGGTGAGAACAGAGCCCAGGCTGTGCCCAGAGGTGCCATCTCACAGTGGTGGCACAACTATAGGACCCAGCCTGTGCAGCTCAGGTACTCCACAGTGCTGGGAGGCAGTGTGTCCACCGCAGCAGTGGGAAGCCCTGTGCTCTCCCTTGCTGCAACCCTGGAGAAAGGATGGTGGAAGGGAGAGGAAAAATCACAGAGGTACAAGGGTCCATGCTGAAAGGCCTGGCACAGCACAGCGTTCCCTTGCTTCATGGCCATGGATGGCCTCAGGATACCCCATTCTCTGGGGGCCCCACACTACCTGAAATAAGCACGAGGAGCAGGTCATCTGCAGTCAGACCCTCAGCCAGCTGCTGTATGGCAACAGCTCCCTTCAGAGCCTCTGCATCTGGGAGGTTGTTCTTGGCACCCTCGATGACCTGGATTTTGCTGTGTGGCTTCAGCAGCATCTCCCTGGTGAGATGAGAGAGGCAGTCACACCACTGACTTGTGCACCTACACAGGCAGCCAGGCTGTCACTCTGCCAGTGCCTGCTGCACCAGAGGTGTACAGCAAGTGACTAGGACAGGGAGATGGCCTTTGCTGGAGAGGCAGCACATCCAGCACAAGAGGTGGGGTCTGTTACTGGTGCCACTGGGACATGATGGTGGTTTAGGATGAGAGCAGTGGGTTGGATGGGATGGGCAACAGAGCGAGGGCAGCTGGAAGGGACTGAAGGGGTTCACAGCAACATCCCACAGAGGACAAATCTGGTAGCCTACCTCCCCCCCCCTTAAACTGTCCAGAAACAGTCCTCCTTACTGCATTCCTGCTCGCTGCAGGCTCTCCTGGATGCCGAGTGGCACACTGATGACACCACGGATGAGGTGGTCTCCCAGGATCTCTTCTGCTGCTGCAGCCATCCCCAGCACAGCTTTTCCAAAACCCACCAGGTACAGGTCCCTCTTCACTGGAAAGGCCTGGCCCTTCACCAGCAGCTGAGGGCACCTATCCCCCTGGAGTTTCAGAGCCCTCTTCATCATCGGGGCCGGGCGGACGGTGCCCACCGCGCTGCGAAGAGGGACAGCGCATGCTCTCGTAGGGACATTCTGCACAGGGTGGCCAGGCTGAGCCAGTCTGTGTTGTGGGGTGGGCTTGTACACGCTCTGCCAGCACTGGCAAGGCCTCTAGAGCTGGGACAGCTGAAGCCTCCAACCTGCAAGGGAAAGTGAACATTTTTGCTAGCAGAAGAGACAGGGCTGTCACAGAGGGAGCAGGGAGGTCAAAACATGAACCATGAAGCTCTAGCTCCTGTTTCCTCCAGATTAAGGTGCCATATGAACAGCATTTTCAAACTTCTCACCAGGCAGGAAGGAGGGAAGGACAGTGTCACATTCAAACTACCTGTCAGCTTGTGATTCCTCTGCAATCCCATCACCTCCCGCAGGGAAGGTGAGCTCTGCCAGCCAGCTTCTCCATCACTGTCGCTTTGCCACTGGCAAGCCATCATTTCTATTTGCTCAGCGTTTGACACCTTTCCAAACTGTGGAAACTGCTCTCTGTCCTAGAGAGAGCAGGGCATCTGGGTGGAACAGCTTTTCACTACATTAACTCCCTTCCTCGTGCTGGCCAAATGCTGATCTCATTCTCTGGCTGTGCATTGTCCCATGTGTCCCTGCAGCATAAGACATGGACTCAGGAGAAACAACAGGCTTGCTGGCTGCCTGATCCCTTGCTGCTGGTGGCCACAGAGAGACCAGTAATGAGGTTTCCTCACCAAACAGCAAATTAACACAAAGCTTCATTTGCCTTTATGTTTTAGTCCTCTCATTATCCATTAAAATCACATTTAGAGCCCAAATAATACTTCAGATCCAGGCGAAGTTGCCAGCCGTGTCTGTGAAAGCCCATTTGAGCTGGTCTCCACTGAGCATTAGCATTATATGCAACAGATTTGTGCATGGACCGAAAGATCTCAGCTGCTCAAGGGCAGATACTTGTCTTGACAGAGGAAAGGCAGCCCCTGCCAGCACACAGGCATCTATTCCCTCCCAGCGCTTCTCCTTCCTTCTGTTAACTGGCAGCAAGTTCACTGCCGGTTTCTCAGGATCAAAGATCCCTGTGATCTGCATCCCTCCCGCTCACGGCAATCAAGGCAAGGTGCCAGGAGGCTCAAGCAGCCCGGGCAACACACTCAATCACAGACTCAATCAAATTACCTGAGAGAGTTAATCCTCTCTCTGGTAAGTGGAGTGTTTCAGTGCAAGTGGCTGGATTCTTCTGTAAAAGCTCAGGAGTCCAGAGGTCTCTTTGTCCTGACACTCCCATAGCATTGCAAGGTGTTAATGATTAAGCCACAGAAGCTTTTCAACAGCTCCTCTAGGCCTAAATCTGCCTTAATTTTGCTGTAGGGACCCAAAGGCTCTACACAAAAAACCCTCTACACAAGCACCTTCTCAGGCACACTCTGAAATCTATTGGACAAGGGACTTGCAGGTAAAGGTATATGGAGAATCAAAGGTTTGTCAGGGAAAGAAACCTAAGAATCACTGATTTTGGAAAAGACCCTTAAGATCGAGCCTAACCATAAATTATTTAATACTTAGGAGAACAGATTTTAAAGGCAAAAGCCAAGGCAGATTAACTTCCTATCTGTACTCTCTTCAGATATTGTTCAGGACTGGCTTTTCAACCATGAGAGAAGAGAATAAAAGACAGGGCGTCCTGACCACTTTGTTACTAGACTCTTAAACTTCATGGCAGCTGATGCTGCGAGCAGCACAAACCACTGACCCCTCTTCAGTGAGAGCCACAGTGACTGTGCTGCTCGCAGTGAAGTTAGCTGTGCACCTCTCTGGAACTGAGATTAGCATCTCTGTTCCCAGCAGGTCTCTGATTCACCTGGCAGCACAGTGCAATCAGAAGAAGGTGTTACAAAGCAGAGGTGCATCATGCCCCAGATCACCTCCCCTAAGCTGCGATACAGGGTTTGCAGAAGTGGCTGGAGAAAAAGGCTTAAATGGAGCCAGGGGAATTGCAGAAAATAAAGCCCCAGAGTTTTTAAGAGGCTCTGTCTCTACCTTGATGTTTCTGTGCACGGCTGACCCTGAAGACCGGGGGAATTGAGCACAAGCAGACCTGCAACAGTGGCTCCTGTCACACGTGCCCTCCTGGCGGCTCTGTTCAGCTCCAGCTCCAGACACAACACAGCAGGCATGAGTTGTTTAAGAGAAATCCTCTCCTACTGGAGCTGGAAAATAAATGCCAGTTTAATTCATCTGGCACTTGTGTACATACTGCTAATGCTTGCTCTGGAAAGCATTTCACTACAATAGCAGGCATGTAATCTGTTTTCTGCACTCTGAACTCAGATTATATTTTAACCATCGAGGCCTGATCCGGAGTCTGGTGAAGTCAGCAAGTGTCTTTGCTTCTCAGGATTTTAGGGCACACTGCCTGACACTGATCTCAGAGCCCAGGTGTAAATGCAGAGTAAACATGGTGTAAAAACCCACTTGCAATCAGAGGTTATCCAACTTCATACCAATGCAACAGAGAGCTGAATTTGGCACAGATCCATTAGCTTTGGATGTCTCAGTGTGTAACTCTGCTCCTTGTCAGCTCTGATTAGACACACAGGCTCACTGGAGGCTCCCCTTGGAATGGGGGTGCTGCTAATGATGCCACAAATCCATTTTTATGTAATTTATTTATACAGTCTCAGGCACTGGGTACTAAATGTCATCAGGAAACAGCTATAAATTAAAAGTGCTATGAAATCCAATATAGATATTAACGAAAAAAAATAAAACTCCTACTCATTTTTCTGGGGATTTAAAAACAAGATCAAGAGGACTGAACATCACCCAAAACACAGGCAGTCATGGAAAGAAAAATAACCCAAATGGCAGCTTTTAGACTCCCTCCAGAGATGGTGGGTTTAGAAATGATGTAACTGCCCGTCAGCTGCTGCATATTGCACGTGGGGAAATTACACCCTCACATCCCTGCATTTCCCTCTTCCCACTGCTGGCTAGGAGGAATCTGGGCTGGGAGAAGGGGCTGATGATGTGACTCATATTGCTTCATGCACTGATCTTTGTTTCCTACTTTCTCAGGGAAAACACATAGGGATGTATGAGCCCTCTTCTGTATGGATATAAGGTGATCTGTTATAGGATGAGCGGGGATCAGGTTTCACACCTTCCCTTTGTCCCCGTTTGGGATAATTTGGAGTTGGGATAGTCTTTTGAAAAGTTTTCTAGAAGTTTGCACTAAGCTTAGGAAGAAAATGATGCTAAGAATTACCTGTTCCAAAGACAGCTGGAGGATTGTAAGGGGTTTAGATTAATCCCCTTTAAATGAAAACTTCCTCAGCTTTCATTGATGAATAATCTACACACTTATAATAAATCTACACACACCATTAAAAGCTCTTTCTTCACAGGGCTCCTCCTAAGCCTGCAGAAATTTCCACTGTTAGCTCTCACACTGAAAAGCAGCAAAACCCCAGCTTATTTTCACCTTCTCTGGGAAAGAGGGAGGGAGAGGAGCTGGACTGTGATAAAATACAGGCAAAACACTCGTTTGCATTACCTTTTATTAACTTTTTAATTAAGGCAATTCTGCAGGCAAGGAGCCAAAGTCAGAGGGAGACAGAAACAATCCAGCAGTAGGGGCAGAAATGCAGTAAAGCTGCCAAGTAAATTGGATGGTGGCAGGAGACCAAAAGCATGGACATAGCGGGGCAGAGCCTCAGCCATAAACTTGGAGTCACACTGGGGAGGAAAACAGTGAACAAATGAGCTGGCCATGCCCATGCAGTGAGAAAAATGAGCCAGCACCTCACTCCATGGCAGCTGCTTGAAAGCCAGAAAAATATTCCTTTCTAGGGGCCAGTCTGCCATCGCTGGGCAGAGCTGAGCTATTCCAGGTGCCGTGGTTGGGGGTTTGTTCAAGGATTTGCATCATGGGCTTGTGGTTTTCTTGAAGTTGGGGTAATTGAGCTTGTTGCAGGCCAACCCAACCACAGACACATCCTGAGCATTTCAGGTGCTGCAAGATCAGAGGATGCTGTATATTCATGCACCAGAATGTCTAATTCAGCTGAGAGATTCGGGGGCCTAAGTTAGGTTAGTTTTAATGTCATTGGGATGTCTCTGGATTTCCCCTGGTGTGGCAGGGATTGGTGGCTGGCCCACTGTGTACGGGGCCAACTCCAAAATCCCTGAGGGGCTTGGAAAACATTTGAGGTGGCACTGGATCAAACCCTGAGGATAATTTTGAGCTCAAGCTCTAAAAGACAGATTATAGCAGTAAACTCCCAGACACAGCAAGTTTTAGCAGCGTCTCTTGCTCCTCGTTTTTCTTGCTGCATGACTTTCTTCTGGCCCCTCGGTACGTAAATTAACATTACACTCACTGAGCCTCAGTGCTCCCATTTCTCCTGCATCACCAGGGGAGTTCACCTACGAAGTACAACAGAGCTGGGATTTTACTGCCTCAAACTCCCCTGCTCCCACTTACTGACACATCTCTTCTATCGTTTGATATATCAACTTTAATTTGCCTGGTGAGCCCCGCTTGAAACTCAAACTCGCTGCTCCACACGGTCCCAAAAGCATTACGAGAAAATTTTTCCAGGAGATGCACTGAACCCAGGAGGGAAACAAAGCGGGGAAGGCTTGTTCCAAGTGTCTATTCTGGGAGGATTAGATGGGGGATTTTTCAAGACTAATCTCTTTAAATGAAAATTTCAGAATTTGATTAATTTTTTAATCTGCACATGGATTTGCATAAAATTACTGCACTGCCTCATTCACATTTGGTAAGAGAGGAAACGTCTGCAGGAAGGATGGGCAGCTGTGAAGGGTCCAGTGCACAAGTGGGTGTGCAGGGACAGGGTGAAAGGCCCTGTGCCCCCACTCACTGCAGTGCTCCTGGGAAAAGCACTGGGAAAGAGGATGAAGGTGGACAGAAGCAGCATGATGAGACCAGAGGGCTTGCCAGGCAGGCAAGGGAGAAAGCAGGATGGAGCCTGAATACCTTTGTTTCAAGAATATGCTGAGCTCTGGAAAACCCAGGAGTCCCAGTTTCAGATACATGGCTTTCTATATGTTTGTTGGAGAAGAAATATGTTGCTCTCATGACTGATTTACTCACCAGGAAAGTGTCAGCAGGGTCTCTTTGCCTTTGATGGAGAACGTGGCTTAAGGCCAAGCACAGGGAAGATAAGTGTTCAGCATTTTATATATATAGATCAGTAAGATTAGTAAAAAAAATTAACTGGATTTGACACATGCATCTTACTAGTTTTTCTAGGTCACACTCCCTTCACTCCCTATATACCTTTTGGAAATGATTTTCCCATGCACTGGGGATTGCAAGGAAGAAAAAATTTTTCACTAAAAATCCTTCTGTAGCTCAACACAGAACACTACTACCCTGGAGCCAAATCCATGCCAAGTCTACTTCCTTTCATGCTGTAATTTCTCAAACTCCCTATTCTGAGTCAACTTGCCATCAAAGTTGAGAGTCATTTAAAATACAGGGAAGGATCATAGTATTCTAGAGAAGATGAAAAGCTGCCAGCCTTGAGGACTGGAATAGTAGAAAGGGGTTGAAATTCAGTGCTGCGAAGTACAAGGTCACGCTCTTTGGGATTAATAGCAGAAAATTATGAGCTCCTCAGTTGGAAATAACATAAGAGGAGAAAGAGCCAGGAATCTTAATCAGTCACAGGATGACAATTACAGCTGCCCTCTGGGCTGAGACAAGAGGCTGTGGGGAACATGGAAAGCAGCAGATGTGAACTGCCTGTGAGGTTTTTGACATCACTCCTGTGAGCACACTGGAGTGAGGGCTGGGCAAACACAGTCAGACCCGCTGGAAACCAGCCTGACCACTGAGCTCAGAGGGTAGAAACAAGTGGCCTGGGGTCCAGCTGACAGCTGGTAATCAACAGGGAATCTGTTGGGGTTCATGTCACCCCATGGCTTCATTAGTGACCTGGAGGGTAGCACAAAGTGCTCAGTTTGGGGAAGTGCTGATGGAGGCACCTTCCAGAGGAACCGTGATAAACTCAAGGTCAGGACCCACAGAAACCTCGGGACACTCAGCAAGGAGAAGTGTGAATTTTTGCTGCTGAGCAAGCACAAGTCCCTGTACTGTGCAGGTTCCAGTGGTATGGAACACAGAAATACACAGGTAGAATAACTGCATGTGATCGATATCACTCAAGCAGCAATTAAACATTTTTTCCATTAACTAATTTTGCAGGGTCATTATCCATGATTCCTACTTAATATGACATTGTGCTAGGAGATCCAATTATCCTGCCAGCTAAATTCCAGCTCGGTATAAACTGACAAACTAAGTTCCAACGATTAGGAAGGAACGGCAGGAGAATAAAAAGGAAGTGACAAAATATCAAATCAACAACCCACGGTGTTATACAACTCTAAAACTTAGCTAAGTACTGTAGGTGTTTTGAAGTAAATTGTCTTATGATGGTATTGGTGAGTCACCTCCGGGGCCCACAGGAGATAATCCAGGCTTTGATCCTGCAATTTACAGTGTGCAGGGCACGGCACCCTGAGCCTCTCTGAAACCTCTCATCACACGGAAATAAGTGGCAGGTTTTGAACTGAGCTGAACAAAGGGGCAGCCGAACCTGAGAGGCTCTGGAGTGATGAAGGCATTTTGTTGAGTCTCCCTGGACTCCAGTGTGAAAACCTTGTCTCTGGTTCAAAGGAAAAACAGGTGAATCATTCGGAGGAGCCAATCCCACCGCGGCGTGAGAGGAATGAGCAAGGTGAGATCTCTCAACCTGTGTTAAGGGTGAGCTCCAGCAAACAAACAGCGAGGGGAAAGAATCTGGGGAAGGACTTTTGTTTCACTAAATCCACACGAAATAATTCAGCCTGTTTGAAGGGCGTGCAGACAGAGCTTTAAGAACAGCTCCCGGACTTGGTGAGGTTTGACCACAGGAGGGCAACAGGATACAAACGCAAAATCAAACCCTGTTCTGGGGACTGTGAAAGGAAAATGCAATTAATGTGTAGCAAAGTGTCTATGGTTTGGTGGTTTTGTTTTTTTTTTTTTTTCTTTTGATTCTGAGTTTCTGGGGGACTGAAATGCCAAGAAGATCTGGTGGTGTTCTGAATTTAAAATAGCAGGAATCTTTGAGGTGTGCGGGGGAGAATCTCGTAGCTACTGTTATACTCCAGAAATAACTTTTTAAGGTAAGAAATATACAAAAACACGAACACAGAGCCTGACATCAGGATTCACGACAGAAAAAGGTAGTTCCAAGGTGTGTGCATTGGAGCAGCAGCCTCAAAAGCTTTCTCCAAGGCTTGAATGTGTCCTGCACACCTTTACCCGATGTCTAATGTGGTTCAGGATCACGCTGCTATAGATGTGGTGTTCCTGTAGTACTGCTTGGAAGTTTTTAGAGGAATAAAAGAATACTGGGAAATGAAAATGTGCATTAACTGGACTGAAAGTAGCACAGGGGAAGGGTAAGAAACTAATCAAGGTGTATTTCAAAGGAGGGTATGGACACAGGAGGTGCTCCCTGGCCAGTGAGGAAGGAGTCCAGCTCCAGGCTGTGCAAAGGTGGTTCCTGTCGGGCCCCATCAATGATTTCACAGAACCACAGAATCAATTAGGTTGGAAAAGACCCTCGAGATCATCCAGTGCACCTATAACCTCATGTCAACTAGACCATGGCACTGAGTGTCACATCCAGCCTTTTCTTAAACACCTCCAGGGACAGTGACTCCACTACCTCCCTGGGCAGCCCATGTCAAATCACCCCTTCTGTGAAGAAATTCTTCCTAATGTCCAACCTAAACCTCCCCCTGCACAGCCTTAAGACTGTGTCCTCTTGTCCTGTCGCTGGTTGCCTGGAGAAGAGTCCGACCCCCATCTGCCTCCCGCCTCCTCTCGGGGAGTTGTAGAGAGCAAGAAGGCCCCCCCTGAGCCTCCCTTTTCCCAGGCTCAGCCCCCCCAGCTCCCTCAGCCGCTCCCGGTCAGACACGTGCTCCAGACCCTTCCCCATCTCTGCTGCCCTTCTCTGCACCCGCTCCAGCTCCTCAATGTGTGTCTTGTCCTGAGGGGCCCTGAACTGGACACAGCCCTCGAGGTGCGGCCTCGCCAGCGCCCAGCGCAGGGGAACAGTCACTGCCCTGGTCCCGCTAGCCACACTATCGCTGATACAGGCCAGGATGCCACTGGCCTTCTTGGCCACACTGCTGGCTCACGCTCAGCCGCTGCAGAGCAGCACATTTCTTCCTAATTCCCACGGGAAACGCGGGAAAACACGATAACCCCAAGCGCGGACGT